ACTGAAATGTCGAGTGACCTCCCGGTCGAAACCTCCGTCACTCTGCACTACACTACCAAGATAAGTGAAGCTATCCAAGACCTCAATGTTTTCGCCACAGGCACGCAGAGACTGAACATCGACATCGAACAAGTCCCCAAATTCCTGGACCTTGGTCTTGGTCCATTTGACCGAGAGTCCCAATGGCTTCGCTTCCTCATGCAGTGCCTCGATAGCTATAGGACCTCCAATGCCTCCGTTAGAATCACTGCATCATCGGCAAAGTCAAGGTCTTTGACATTGAAATTACCAATTGATGTCCCGCAGGAACTATGGTCCACGTCACGGCCAAGGATCCAGTCCATATAAGTGCTGAAAAGGGTTAGGGCCAGGACATATCCCTGTCTCACCCCTGAAGACACCGGGAAAAAGGCAGAGATGCCCTCCTCACACTTGACAGCACTCTCGGTATACAGGCCAGACAGCAAACCAATAATCCCAGGGGGAATCCCACGGAGACCCAGCAGGCGAAAGTCTTCTTGAGATAAGCTGCAAGCATACCTTGCTGAAACTCGAGTCGGCGTTCCACAAGGACACGAAGTGCCAAGACACGGTCTACAGTTCACTTCTTGGACAGACAGATCAGGTCTCTGTGCTCGTAAAAGGTGGTCGCGCACTAGCGCCAAAAGCAGATGAGCGACGACCTTGCATGGTACGCGTAATGTTCCTCTTTCAGTCCCACACATCTTGTTATCCTGTCCCCGCTGTAGTTGCCACAGTCCCTTTGGCCCCCTTTCCCTTTCCAGATAGAGATACCAAGCCCCTTTTCCAGTCAGGAGGAATGGTACCAGTCTCCCAAACGGCAGACAGGACTGCATGCAAGCCACAGATCATGGCTTCTCCACTCGCTTTCAACAACTCCACAGCAATCCCACAGACACCAACAGCCATTCCACTCTTCAGCCTAGAGACCGCCCTTCTCACCTCTTTTATGGAAGGTGGTACCTCACTGATTGGTGGATCAGCCACTCGTGGCTGTGTGCCAGCCAACGGGAGTTGTGAAGATGGGGGATCTATCTTATACAGTTGCTCAAAGTACTCAGCCCAGCGGGCGGTATACTCACCCAGCTCCGACACGACGCGACCATCCTCTGCCCTCCCAGCTGAAAGATGGACTTTGACCGGAATTCCCTCAGGGCACGGAAAGCAGGCCAAAGGTCATTATGGGCAAAATGACCTTCCAATTGTTCCACGATGCCCCTAACGTACCATTGGTCCATTCTCAAAAAGGCCGTAGTAGAGCGAGACAGCTCCCTGTGCAAGACATTGGTTCCCATCCAGTCTGACAGCACGACTCATCTCCATAGTGTACAGCGGAAGTGAGAATAAGTGAGGAAAGGCAGAGGTACGGGTTGCTGCACAGCGGGGACAGGATAGCAAGATGTGTGGGACTGGAAGAGGAACATTACGCGAGGAGCATGGAGGTGGATCAGATTGTAACATGAGATGGGAATGTGTGAGGCGAGTGTATTTAGTTTTCCAATGTCTGTTCTTATAGAGTGGCATTAACCATGGGGAGATGGAAGGTTTTTTGTTAATTTATTAGTGGCAAGGCTAGAAGGTAGTAGTCAGAGGCTGGAATATGTGAAAATCTAGGCTGGTGGGATGTGGACAAGGTGGCGGAGTGTGCTAGTGAATCTACCTCTTCATTGCCGGGGATCCCAATGTGGCTCGGTATTCAGAAAAAAAAAATGTGTTGTGCGTTTAAATTAAACAGTTGGTCATGAAGATAATTCAGTTGTGAGGACCCTGGGTTCAGGTGTAAGTTGAGGGTATAGGAAGGAAAGATTATAGCAAAACCAGCGCCAGAGAGGGATGTGTATAAATGTGAATGGTGGAGGAGTGGGTTGAGGCATGGTTGAACAAACTAGTGAGAAGAATAGGAGGGGAGTATCTGGATTTAGACTAGAAAAGGAATTTGACTGGGGGAGAGAGGTAGTAGAGATTGGTACGGGGTAGAGGGTAGGGACACTGGGGAGATGCTAAGACTGGGGGGAGAGCGGAGCGAAGTACAGTTTTCGAATAGGTAGAAAGAGAAAAACCTCGTCGGCGTGCTTCTTGTCTGGCCTCACTCAGAGTGAGACCTAATTTGAAATTGAGAACTGCTACCTCAGATTCGAGCTTATACGCAGGGTAGCCCCTATAAAATGCAGTGAGCAGAACGGCTGCGAAAGGAAACTTTGTCTACCTGTTTTTGGAGACACTGTTGGAAGAGAAGGGCATTGTCAGAGTATGGTGCTGTAGAGGGATTCGCAAAGAATTGATCCCACTTGGCTGGGCTAAAAAAGGGTACTCGAAAGATTTGCAGAGGGGGAAGCAGTAGAAGGACGACGGTGGGAGGAAGATGGGGTGGAATGGAGAGAGGTAGTACTGTTGGGAGGACAATAAGGATGAAGAGTAGGGGGGTGGGTGCAGACAATGAAGAAGATTGTGCAGTAGATGGAGAAAAAGATGTTGGGTGGATGATTCGGAATGGATAGAGATGACAACATCGAGGAGGGGATATTAGTATCAGAGGGTGGAGCCGAGGTCAGAGGAGAGGCAGGGGTCGGGAAACCAAAGCAATCAAATTTAGATAGGATAGTTGATGAAGTGGCAAGCCTTAATGCCCCTAAAAAGGGTCAACAAATTAAACAATTATTGGCCTTGGTGAGCCTGAAATAAGTGGGGAGAGGGAGCGCTCTATCCCTCAGGGCCCCCGCAAGGGTAAAGGCTAGGCGATTAAGGGATTACCGTGCCCATGGCTCCCGGAGGCCGTTCAGGACTGACACAAAGCAAGCCTTTCATCCTTTCAGCACAGCTCTCACACCTTAGAAAGTGGACAGAAGGGGATGAAGAAGAGAAGGAAAACGAAAGGAGGAGAAGAAAAATGCAAAATTGGTTGAGGCGAGGGCTGAGGTCCAAGGTAGGGGTGATCCCCTACATTGTCCTCAGTCTTCGTCTCCTCACCCCCACCCCACTACGACAACAACGAGCAAGGGATTAGGGGGGAGAAATTTATTAATGAAAATACCCATGTTCCCTCGCATGCCATGAGATAATAGCGGTTTCAAAATATGACATCGCCATGTAGCGTCGTATACCTTTTCCAGGTCAAAGAAACAGCTAGTATTGAGTAAAATCGTGCACAGGCAGCCGTTACATGATTTCCTAAATGTGCCAGAGGGCGGGCTGTGCTTCGAGCACGACGGAATCCAAATTAGGGGAGAAGACACAAGACTGTTGGATTCAAGGTACCACAATAGGCATAGACTGACCATTCTTTCTAGCAATTTGGACAAACAGCTAGCCAGTGCATTGGGACGGTAGCTTAAGGGAGGGTCCCGGATTTATATAGTTTAAGTTAGAATAAGAGCTTCAAGCCAGTCGTCCAAATACTGTTAAGGAGTGTCAACAGGAAGGATAAAGCGATAGATGGAAGATGTCATAGCATAGGGTAAAGAAAGCCTTCATGTGTATTGCGGCACGACTGTAAGGCAGAAAGCTCAGTAGCGAGGGGGATATTGTAGGGTTCTGTAGATAAAGAGATGGGAGCGTGTTCCTTGGCTGTTTTAATGGAATGGAATTGGGAAGAAAGGCGAGAGCCACTACCGACCAGGCTGAAACGTGCAGCAAATTCAGTAGCAACTTGTAAAGGTTCGAAAATGAGAGTTCCGGTTGCGGAGGACTAGGGCAGGATGAGGGGGATTGTTCCCTGATAGCTTATGGATTCTATGCCACAGTGTAGAAATAGGTGTAGAGGAGGTAATTGTGGAGACGTAATTTTGCCAGCTGCTTTTAACCGAGAATCGGAATGTGCGACAGAGTTGAGCTGATGCTCTTTTAAAATATAAAAAGGCTGATATTTGGGGGTATTTCGCTTGTAGCGATAACTACTCCACGTCGCACACTTCAAATGAAGTTCCACCATGGAACACATTTAGATTTGTATGGTCTGCAAGTTCGGGGAATGGCTGTGAGGGCAGCACTCAGGATAGTGATTGTGAAATAAGAAAACGTCTGATGGGGAAAAGATGGAAGAGGGAGAGTAAAGAAAAAGATAAGTACGACAGCCTGCTCCATTGGAGCATCAGTGTGGAGGGCTGGTGAATGGAACATAGGAAGTAGGAGAGAGGAGAAAAGGGAAGTGATCACTAAAGGGAAGGTGGTCCAGAATGAGGTGAAGGGAAGCAGAGCAAAGAAAAAGGTCATGAAATGGTTTGTGTGCATAAGGGGCGATCCGAGTTGAAAGGATTAGGTCAGTGTTAGAGAGAATCCTTTTTAGGGAACGCCCCCGGGAAGTAGTGGTAGAGTCGCCCCAAAGGCCGTGACGACAGTTAAAATTACTGTGCAGAATTAGCTGAGGCCCAAGGTACAGATCCCCAACACTGGGCCTGTCTTTGTTTCATAAGCCCCCCATGACAACAATGAGCATGGGATTGGGGGGTTCAAAATTTATAATGTTATTAGATCAATCAAACCACAGCAAAGACAGTGTATGCATAACTGACCAAATTATTTTTAACACTGTAGCAAAAGCTCTGTTCACCCATTAAGTCCCCAAACTTTAGTTGTATGTTCTGTATGTTCTTGTATGTTCTGCAACATCTGTTCACTTGATCAAACAATAAAACTGGAGGATTTTCTGTCAATAGTTGTAAATAAACCATCATAGCTAAAGTGTGCTCAGCTGCCCAGAGGAGTTCTAGTGCTGTTCTAGTGTCAAGGTGTTCGAGCCTCTCTGGTGCTGCAACATTTCCTAGCAAAGTGAAGGAGGTGGCAACCTACAGAATCCACAGGTCGAGGCTATAAATCACTCAGACCAGACCCACTTTATCAATATTTATCTTTATACAATCATTTACTCAGCAACTGATTTTTCAAAAGGTATTTTTATCAATCAAATTCTCACCGAGTGTGTGCTGCAATATCTGCTCGCTTGATTTAGTCACACAGTTGAGGAAATAAAGAAAACATCAACAGCAATGGCAAAGATTACCTTATATTACTAGAACCTACGGTCATACTTACATAAAAGATTTGGAAAAACAGGCTAATAAAACAATCATTCCATTTAGATTAACTTCAAATACAAAGATTTTTTTCTTTTCTTGTACATATGCAGAGTAAATCAACAAGTTTATCACAATACTCTTCCTTTTGTTAAATATAACACAAAATATTTATATGGAACACACGCACACATACACATTTGAATGCGTATGCGAATGCTTGTGAGTGTTTGTCTATATCTGTGTGCAAGTCTATTTGTGTATGTCTGCTGGGTGTATGTATGTATGTGTGTTTACGTGTAGTGGGTTGGGGGTGGAGGGGGGGGGGGGGGGTGCAAACACTTGTCACACACCCATAGATGAATAAATTTTTTCAGGCATATGTTAATGTGTATCAAAACATATGCAAACAAAATTTTCTCTTTTATATTCATTCATAGATTTGGTACTAAGGATCTACAGATATCCTGAAAAAACAATCAACAAAAAAACATCCTAAAAGAAGAACATTCAGCATAGCTTCTATTAAATAACAAAATATTTACATAAAAAAAAAGGAACAGATCAACTTTGCTTCCACTTTGAGAAAATATTTCAAAAGGGAAAAATTTCTCCATATTTCCCTTTCTCTTTGTTCTGAAGCCATTTCAAAAAACAGACGAGCATCTTTACTAAAACGGGTGAAACTACATCTTTCTACAATATTCTAGCAAGACTATTATGAACTTCTTATACCAAATTAAAAAAATAAAAACACTTTGAGAGACATTGGTAGTTCTGTGTCTCTGGTGCAAATCTATTTTTTATTTATTTATTTATTTTTTTTACGACAAGGAGTGTTCCACCAAGCTGCGGAAAACAAATTTTGATTTTATTTTCCCTGTCAAGTCCAATTCACTCAAATCAAATCCAAGACAGATCCAGCAATAAATCTTACAACCTCACAACTGGACAAAATCTAACATTGCTGTCCACTTCCAGGTCAATCACTCGATAAACTTTATAGCCAAGTAAACTAAAAGGAATGTATTTTACTATCAGATTTAAAGCCTTTCTGCCATGAACTCCCACTGGTTTAATAGGCCTACGTCTTCTGCCTCTGTAGCCAATACCTCAGTCAGCGACATTAATTACCACTTACTCTTTTCTTGAGGAACTTGGTAATTCACTTAATCTACAAATGTTTTCTTTGCAGACATTCCATTTGCTACTACATAAAAAAAAGGAAAATATTAACAAACAAATACAACAAATACTGTTAAAACAAAACAAAACAAAAAATATAAAAAATGAATAAAAAAAATAAAACAGGGAATGGCTCCTCTCTCTAACAACAGCAGAGCTAACCAAGGAGAAAAAAAATGAAGAACAGCAGGAAACCACCCCCGGCCGGCCCTTCACGCCCAACCAACGGAACCAACAGCTGCACCTTAATACTGGTAATCGAACTTGAGCTTGAGGAGGTACTTGACATTGACCTGCGCCACATCGTACACAATGAACTCGTTGTAGAGGAGCGAGGTGTTCCCGATGGGCGCCTGGATGCCCTTGCCCAGCGGAACCTCCACCCCGTCCAGGGTGATGCTCTCGCTGGGGTCGGGGCAGGTGCTGCCCAGGCCCTTTGTACTGTGCATCCCCTTGGGTAGCTTTTCGACGTATTCTGCGTGGGTGCGCTCGTACCTGGGGGAAGGGGGAGAGGGGCAAGAGGGGGTGAGTGTAGAGGAAGAGATGAAAGTTTACATATCTAATTAGCATCACCTACAGTTGTGCAAAATCACACATCAAGTACAGATGCAGAATTTCTTGACATAAGAAGTTGTTGCATTTTATAAGACAAAGAGGCAGTTAATAACTACTTCTATCAATTAGTTGAAAAAAAAAAAAAAAAAATTCCAAAAGCTCTTTATGATCAACATACATTAATTACATATTTACCAACATATTAAAAATAAGGAAATAAAACACATGGAAAACCTCAAAAGAACAAGAAACTTCCACGGCTTCAGCCCTCGAACTCCAATTCCGACATCAAAACGACACTACTTACATGTTTCCAAGCGCGACGTCTGCGAGCAGGATGAGACCCGTTGGGTGTGACTGCGAGGTGCAACAGTAGTTTGCAGACTTGGACACCATGTCGGCAAAATAGACACCTTTACCAAACATGTAGCCAGTGACGGGCGCTTCTGGCGGTGCAATTCTTAGACCCTGAAAGGATACAGCTCAGTTTCAATATCAGCCTCATTTGATCATCTATGCTTAATCTTTATTTCTAACAATCCTGCAAATACTAACCTAAAAGGGAGAAGAAAAATTGCAATCATAAAAAGAAGGGTTGCTGATTTTACCAGAACATGAAATAATCGAATAGGATTACACTAACCATACAGCCAACTACTATTTCATCAAAAGGAAAATATCTCATAAAAAAGTGAAAAAGAAAGAAAGAAAGAAAGAAAGAAACAACTTTAATGCTAACACTAAGCTAAACTTTTCAATCTCAAATTCTAACCTACTCCTTGTTAAACCATTGCTAATCTTCCAATCATATGTAAACCTTATCAGGCAATAATAGATATCAAATCCAACCAGGCACTTCAACACTAATACACAAGACAACAATGGGGAAAAAATATATATATATAATAATAATAAAAAGTAACACTAATAACAAAGTAATAGTAATAATAAAAAACTAATAAAAATGATAACAACAACAACAAAACAACATAATAATAATATTGTTATTATCATTATCATTATCATTATCATTATTATTATAATTATTATTATCATTATTATCATCATCATCATCATTAATAACAATAATAATAATAAGAAGAAGAAGAAGAAGAAGAAGAAGCAGAAGCAGAAGCAGAAGAAGAAGAAGAATACAACAAGCACAAACCTGAGACAGAATGCCAGCGAAGTTGGTGAGCCTGGAGCCGTGCCAGAGGAGCTTGCGGTTGTGGAGCTGCTTGAACGGCTTGAAGCGCTTCTTCTCTCCGCTTCTCTCGATCTTGAATGCCTGCAGAGTGAGGGAGAGATTGGTTAAGGTTATCAGTTAAGGCTCATTACCTGCTGCTGAAAGAAGAAAAAGAAAAAGAAAAACTTTCCTCTGCATTACGACAAATATATATCCATTGTTGAAGAAAGGCTAAGTGCTGCGCTGATCAAGTTAAATATCACTAAGAAGAAATTTAAATAATTCCAACATTATGAAATGCATTTTTTTTTAATGGGAGAAAACAAAGAGATTAACAGTTTATGAATCTCTTGAGAGGAAGTTTGTTTCTGTTTGCTTGTGACTGTCTATCTACTGTCTATCCGACTTCCTTTTTAATTATCTATCTGCCTTAATATAAGTATGCTTTCTGCCTACTGATCTGAATGTCCTTCCATCTGTCCATCCATCTGTGTCTATCAGCTTCTCCATCTCACTGAATGCCCATATGCTTGCTTGTCTGAGGGGCACACCAGACGGACAGAGAAACTCACCTCCTCGACCACCAGCTTATAATATCCGTGCGTGGATGCGTGGGTGTTGCTGACGTATTTCTTGATCATGCTGAACTCGTCCGACTTCCTGTCCACCACCTCGATCTTGGTGTTGAGTTTGCGGTAGTGCTTGTCGATCGGGTCGGCGTCCTTGTCCTCGTCGCCCTCAGACTTCAAGAGGTTGTAGGCCACCTCGATCTCACTCAGGTTGTCCAGCATGGCCACCTTCGCCTGTCAGAAGAGGAGGAGAGGGTGAGAACTGTTGTTAGCTGTGTTATTGCTGATCAGAAAGACAGTACTGATAATAAGAGGTATAGTGATAATGACAAAGGTGATAACAAGTGTTCATGACGGTGGGAATGGCATGGGCAGTGATGCAATATGGATAACAAATGATAACTCACAATATCTCTCATTAAAGGTCAACTAAAGTCTAAAGTCATGTCAATCAATAAAAAAGAAGAAAAAAAAAAAAAAAATACAAGTCAAAATACAAGCTCCCTATACTTAAGAATTATTTGTAAGGCACACAGTTCAATGATCTTAGCTGTTAGCCATGCATCCCCCTTTCCCCATCTATGGTTTATCTGCTAATCAGAATTTTATGCCAATTTTAGACGGCTGTTGGACAGCTGTCTAAACCCAAAAAAACAAGGCCTCTAATTCCTTGGTTTCAATATAATTTAACCCACACAATGGAGAGAAAACACAAAGCCTTCTATCTAAGTATCTTCCATGTCAATAAATTAAGTACCTTCCATGTCAAACAAGCCTATAACTCAAAATCATAATAATAATAGGAATCATATAAGTACTATGATGATGATGATAAGAACAATCATAATTTAACAACAATAATAATGATGATAAT